ATTACATATATATATATATATATATACAGGGTGCTTGAATTAATTCTCGCTGTTGAACTATTATATATATAGATCCGAAAATAAGTCATTTCCAAGTTATAACCACTTTTATGTTAAAAAAATTGTAATTTATTTTTTATAATCACAATCGTAATTTATTTCATAATGTTTTAAAAAAAATAATTATATTTCGGAATATTTTGGCGTTATTCAGGATGCACCACGTGGAGATATAGCCTGCGGGTGATTTTCCGGACATCCTATATTTAAATCCTCTATTTTTTTCATATAAAAACGTATTGATTAAAAAATACCTCAGCAAAATTTCTGTACAGATATATCTTTCAGAATCACTATTTTCATTGCTTGCAATTTCTTCCAAAATCAATTAATTATCAGATTTGATTGCATCGTGTTGATTACTGTATTGATTTTTATTTGTTACAGGCAAATGAACAGACAGATTCAAATACTACTTTGATAGAAAGTAATAAAGCAAATTTATTATATTCTATCAAGTCAAAACAACCTCTATCAAACAATGTGGTGCATGCTCGAATCAGGATTAGCTTGGAGATTGATCTGATAGCGGTGATTTTACTAATTTCGGGTATTTGCACTCGTCTTTATTGTCTTGAGGAACCGCGTAGTATAGTGTAAGTGCATACGCATTTTTGGCAAATAATATAACGCTAATAAAAGAGAAATTAATAATTGATAGTCATTACGATGTACGGTAGTTGTGAGACACCCTGTGTATGTGCGCGCGCGCGCGCGTGTGTGTGTGTATGTGTAAAAAATTATATATATATTATATAATATATATAGGATAGAATCGGGTTTTATGCATCTTAAGGAAACATTTTGATATATCTAGCATACTGAAGAATAAAAAAAATCTTATGCATATCATTTGATAGATTTATTGTATTCCTCATTAAAAATTGAGTCGAAAAATCCTCCACAATTTTGCAATTTTTATAATGGTTGACGAAATATTAATTTCTAAATATTGCCGAATAAATGCGTATCCGGCTGCCCAACCATTAACTATCACGAAAATTGCAAAATTTTTTTATTCAATTTTTGATCAGGAATAGCGCTATATGATTAATGTCCACTATTTAAGAAACGCTCTGTGTATTATATATATAAATTTATTTATCTCTTATTTAACATGCGATTAGAATAATAAAATTTATCAATTATAAATCAAAATTTAATAATAATATTGGTTATTTTCATCTTTTCAATTATTATGTGTTGTTTATATTAGTCTATTATAATTACTTATCTGTCTTACAGCTTCGACGAACTACATTATGGCAAGTACGTTGGATTATACATGAAGAGGACGTTCTTTTTCGACTCCCATCCGCCTTTAGGGAAGCAATTGATCTCTGCAGCGGCGTACTTGGCTGGATTCGATGGACAATTCAAGTTTGATAGGATCGGAAGTCCTTACAGCGACGCGATTCCTTTGTACGCGTTGCGCCTAGTACCGGCGATATGCGGCAGTTTACTGATTCCTACAGGATATTATCTTGTCCTGGAATTGGGTTTGAAGCAATGGGCCGCAGCAATTGGTGGAACTCTACTCTTACTCGGTAAGAGTAAAGTACAATTTCTATTCTCAAATTAGAAAATGCATTACACAAAAGATTGCACGATTGTAGCATGCTGTTCATCTCCTTCATGTTATGTCCTATCTTCATTTCTGTCTTATGATTAAAAATGTATTAGCATGTTTAATATTTAAATTCTGTTATTCTTGAGTTAAAGATAATGCATAGTAACGAGATTCTATTGTATACACAGTATAAGTCACGTATATACATAATTTGTTACTTAAAAAATTAAATCCAGCCGTTGATATCTTTGCTAAAATTAAATATATATTTTTACTAC